TCATCTTCCAGTAGCAAGGGGTTCAACACAGCATATGATGAAAAGTATTCCTACCAGCAGCCGTTGTAAGGTCTTACGAAGCACTATTAGAGCGACAAATAATATGATTTCCTTCAACAATGTTTTCTGGAGTGCGCTTTTTGGGGGTGTCATTGGCGGTGTTTTGGGTGCTATGTTCACGCTCAAGATTTTCGGCGATCAAGGACCAGAGCAAGCTGAGGATGAGGAGGGAAATCGAGATCGAGGAGCCCCCGACATGAGGAGAGAGCCTGTCGAACACGATTACATACCTGAAATTTGAATCCTTTTTAAAATAGGTGAGTTTCCTTTTCTTTTCTTCTTCTGCTACTTTTTTATTTCTAAATTACTTGACCGCGGCGCTACGGCGACTGCCACCGTATTATGCAGTAGTAGCAAGTAATTAGAGACTTTTCTACAGTGATATTAAGAAATCAGTTCACGGCGCAAAATTTGTCTGAGTTTAGGTACACAGTATAACTTTATGTTAATACTTTAAAAATCACGGTTACAGCGTAGCTGTAAACCCTTTCTACACATTTTGTTAAAATTCGGTAGCTTGCGTGGAACGTGCGTCCTCGCGCGTGTGAGTGGGTTTAACGTGACACATAAAAACACGAATTAAAATTAAAAGCGGGAAATTCCTAGCCTGTCGAGGCCCAGCCTTCAGATACAGTGGAACCCCGCTCTACGGACACCCGCTTAATACGGACACCCGCTTTATACGGACGGTTTCGTTTGTCCCGACAAAAAGCTCATATATTTTCTCTAAAATTAGCTTTATACGGACACCGGACACATTTCTGTGTCCCGAGTCACAAACTCTCATATATTGTCAACCCCTCTTTACGGACACTGGTTATCTGCACACTGTCTATTTTCATTATCACAATTATGTGATAATTGTAGACATTGTACCCTGTTCAAATAATGACAGATTTTTACGGGTGAATAAAATTTTATTACAGTACTAAAAAAAAAACAGTAACAAAGTAGCGTGACATATTTGATTTTGAAATTTTGATCTTTCTTCCGGTGTTTGACTCTTGTACTACGTATAGTTTTCTGCCTCCTGTTACACACGTTTCATTTCCTTGGCTTTTTGTTCCAGTCGTTGTTCGTAACCTTCTTCCTCTTTGACGTTGTTTGCTTGCTGCGAGCTGTACGGCCAGGATCATCCTCCGCTCGTATTGCTGGGTTGTTACAACGTCGAGTCATTGTTATTTTGTAAATCCATGTGTTTCCGAGGACCATCAAAAATGTAAACACATGGTATTTCCATACCAAGACCTCCACCCCGATTGACTGCCTTTCCACATACTTCTACCGATCCTTGGTTCGTAAAACTGTCTGCTTTGGTCTTTATATCGATAACACATGTGTTCCTGGCGTTTTCTCTGAGAGCCCGCTTAATACGGACACCCGGGCCGAGTTGTTCAAAGCTGGGTTAAGATAACCCAGGGTTAGTGCGAGATTTGAATTAAGATTTGAAAGCGTTAAAATCGTTTCAGTTTTAATGTTTTTCTGTCTACAAGTTGATGATTGGAAGCTCTAAAATATCAGAGAAAATTATCCGAGAAAAAGCTTTTGAACACAAGAAAAAGAAACCCGGGTTAAATTTAACCTCGGGTTAAGCGCTAATCAGCCTTCGAACAACTGGGCCCAGGATAATACGGACACAATGGCATGTCCCCTTGGTGTCCGTATTATCCGGGTTCCACTGTAGTAAAAACGTCGCGAAAACAAGGTCAAGGAAAGGGGAGGGGGGTTGTGGAGAAAAGTAAGACGCGCGTGATCTGGAAAAGTTGGCAGCGATGTCACAGTAATATGGGCATCCCCTGTAACCCTAGACTTTCTAAAAGTCCCTTTTGATTTTTTTTCCTGGCTGGTTATTCCTTGAGCTCGCGACTCTCTCGCTCGCTCGGTTGCTGCGCGAGTTCGTTGAAGCTCGCTTTTTCTCTTTCGCCTCCCTCGCCAAGAACTTGAGAGGCCGACTTGTAGGAAGTCTACTGTAACCCCAACCCAGATCGCTAAGGTAATATGAAAAGGGGATGCCTATATCGCTAGGGTTTTGGGAATGGGGATGTCTATATCACAGTAACAGCGGCGGGAAAAGGACAAAAAATCTCTCTCCTCAGCCCCCGCGCGTTTTCCCAACCTAACAACCGTCTTACAGTCAGGTCAGGGAATCCCGTATCCCGACAGAGGTCCATAATGAGTCCGTGACACTGTTTACAGTTCTTGTGTTCTGTTTTTTGGTGAGCTTAGTGATTGATCTTTGTTCTCTTACAGCAGTAGAAGAAAGCTAGTAGAAGTTTCCCGCTGTAGACAGAATTTTTGCAGTTGATCATGATGTATGACGATATTACGATCTGATTTACGCAAGGCATGAATTGAAGACTGCACCTCTTGTACGGTTGCTATTCCCAAAAACTAACCCTTTATATTATGTTAGTAAGCCAATTTCATTCACATTGTATTCTCTGGTTATGCAAGGTGAACAAAGATGACAGCGACTGACCACACCTTTAGTAAAACTTTGTTTAATAACACCGAAAGGCTAACTATTTCATACTGAGATGTAAACTGTACAATGATAAAAAAATATGTAAAGTAACTTTAAAAATAGTAATAAAAAGGATTTTTGGTGCTAAAAAAAAAAACAGTCAACTTATTTATGCAATGTTGACAACAGCATGGAAATATGTACAACCTCAATGAAAGCATGTGATTCTGTTCAAATTTCTGGTAAGTTTTTTTTAAAAAGAATTCTCTCTCCATTTTTATGGTATACACGAAATAGGTTTAGAAATTTTCATCTGTTTTGAATACATGTTCTGATGTAGTAGATGACTTTCTGCTCATTACTCCTGACTTCTGATATTCTGCTACTCTCTTCTCAAAGAAATTTGTTTTTCCTTCCAAGGAAATGTTCTCCATGAAATCAAATGGATTCTGAACATTGAAGACCTGTCAAAATAAAAAGAATAATATTTGTAACTCTATTAACTTCCCGTAATATGACCCTGCCCTTGTAGAAATTAATCTGTTCATACTGAGTATAAATTTTAACTAGGGTGTACTTGCACGCAGCTTGATAAATAATCACAGTAGCAGAGTTCAGATAAGGTAAGATTTTGACTAAAAGCAAAGCATCACATAAGCTTTGCTCTGGCAAAAGTATAAGAGTTAAATAGGTTTTTTTCATGATGGGGGAATTTGATGACCTCAAATGGACCTATGATGGGGTATTTAAACACCTGTTTGACTTGGGATTGAATAGAGAATTAGAACAAATTAATGCTTATTACCATGTAGGGAGGGAATGTTGCACTTTGATTTGACTAAGGCATTAATTCCCTAAAGCTTTTGGTCACTTTTACTTGGACAAAACACCTTTAAAATATTTTGACAAGAAGGTAAAGAATCAGGCAAACATAAGCTATTTTTACCTTGGAGCATTTAAGAGCAACCAGAAGTCTGTCAGCTACAAATTCAATATACTGCTTCATAAGGTTGTGGTTCATTCCAATGAGTTTTACAGGGAGGGCTTCTGTGAGAAACTCTTGCTCAATGACAACAGCATCCTTGATGATTTCTTTGATCCTTTCTTCAGATGGCTTGTTTTTGAGGTATGTGAACATCAAGCAGGCAAAGTCACAATGAAGACCCTGTGTTATAGATCACAATCATATATTTTTGCCATATTTTCAGATCTATTAGTTCATAATTGCAAAAAAATGTCACTTGTTAGAAATCTGAAGTATATTAACCAATACAATAAGACAATACAGTAAAACCCTGTGTATAAGGAACCTAGATTTTTACAATTTAGCCTAAATAGGTTCTTATAGAAATGGTATTAATTAGCAGGATTTTAGGCTACTTAGGTTCTTAATTTGATAGGGGATAGGGGCACTAGCCATCAGCACAGATAACTACTACAGGGCATATGTCATATGGAATATCTCGCCCTAGGATTTCATGGTAACGAAAGTTTCCGGTACTGTGACCTTGAAATAACAGAACCAAAAAATAGTTCCCAAGTGCCATTTTCAGCCTTAGGGGTCCACTTAAAGAATTTGTTTTCTCACACAGAACCACAACGATACTTAACTAGTAGAGCATTATTCTTTAGTTACAACTCAAACATGCAACTGAAATGTTTAGCATCTATCAGTTCCATCTTTAATCATTCCAAAAAAGCATTATACATTACTGGTTTATGACTTCCAGCACCAAGAAAAAACAGATGACTAAGAAAAATTTAAAACATTTAGGGGATGGGTTCCCATGAATTTTCACGGAACCAAAAAATTGTTACTGATGGTTTCCCATGAACTCTGGGCACGGAACTGAAAAACTGTTTTCAATGGGAATTGAAATCCTGGGGCTTGGAATATGGTATATTACTGTATTAAATAATTATCTAGGATACAGTGATAACCATGCATCAAATTTATCTTTCCATTAAAGTACTAGCACTTTTATGCTACAGGGTCTATAAAATACTGTAACAATTTTTATTCTTTAAATTTTTCTGACTAAAACCTGGACTCAATTCTTTTTTCTGTATTTTCAGCATTGCCCTGTCATTTTTGTAAAATAAGAACCTATTGAAAATCTTAGGCTGGTTTTTACTGTACTCTGTTTCACAAAAATATGAAACATTGCCATTGTTTAAAGCTTTTCAGGGTGGCTTACAGTTCCTGACATTTTAAGTTTTACACATTCTAATCTTCTGTCATTTAGACTTTGGAAAATTCTTGTCAACCTTTTCAAAATTAACACTAGCGTGTGCACTTTCATCAAAATATCAAGCATGACTACAGACCTCATCACGGCTAATGAGCTCATTTGAGAAGGTAAGCCCTGGCATCTTTCCTCGCTTTTTCAGCCAGAAAATGGCAGCAAAAGAACCAGAGAAAAAGATTCCTTCTACAGCAGCAAAGGCAACTATTCTCTCACCATAAGATGCCTACAAAAATAAAAAACAATAATCAGTCATATTGTAGACTTGCTGAAATAAAGTTCTTATGTTTGTATCTGGAATTGTCGGGCTGAAATATTACATTTCAAAACATAAGCATGAAAAAATAAGTAAATGATAAAATCTTAATTTACACAATTTTATGGAAAGCTGTTTTCTTTAAGGAAAATAGTTGGGAGCCTAAGGAATTTAAATCTCTGGAGTACAAGGTGCAATTGGTAACAGCCTAGATCTTAGTTTTGCTTGGAAAGGTCACCAGGCACTGCTAGAGAACAGCTCTGATATGGCACCTTTCAAAGGTGACTAAGTTTTAACAGAATTTCACTTGACTTACTCTCTGTGGGTTTATCCAGTTTAGGGCCCATTGAGCTTTCTTTGTGACACAGGGCATTGTTTCAATAGCATTGAAAAGCCTTTGCCTAAGAAGATAAAAACAGAAACAAAAACATTTTATTTGAAGTAATACTTTACCTAGTGTCATACTCTGAAAGAAATGCAGTTAAAAGTTTTCCTGCATTAGCAAATGCAGAAGCTCTTTGGAATGTTAAATGATCAGGAAAAAAAAGATAGGACTTACTTTTCCACTGAGTCTTCAATATAGGTTTCAATCAGCAAACTGTACATCTCGGAATGAATATTCTAAAAAAAAGAAAGCTTTAAAATATAAAAACTGCAATCTACAGTTGCATCTAGCTATCCTGTCTTAGCTCTAACACTTGTGTTAATAATAAGGACTGCCCAAGAGTTAGCTGACCCACATCATTAGTCATCTCTTTCTCTCTAAAAACAGAGTTATCACCATAGCTTATTACAACAAGAGAAAATAATCTTACCTCAATTGCAATTTGGAAACCATAGAAGCACCTGGCCTCTGGGACCTGGACTTCTTGACTGAAGCATTCTACCAGGTTTTCATTCACAATGCCATCACTAGCAGCAAAGAAGGCCAGGACATGCGAGATGAAGTACCTTTCATCATCCTATAAACAAAACCAAACAATTCAGTGAGCCAGAGGGACAGATCCATTGAGTTGTATTTTGCTTTTCTTGCTGAGTTTTTTGGCAGAAGCTTCGCTACTCTCTTCTTAGAAAAGCATGACGTTAAAGTTTCCACCACATTTTCGAGCTCCACAAAAACGCCTAAGCTAAGGCAATTTGTCTTAAGGCATCTTGGTTACTGTCCCTTTTTCTGATGATAGCCTATGCTTTGACATCATATTACCAGATATGATATCACAAGCATTTCCCAAAAAAAGTGAATGCTATTTGCTGATTTTAGCCAATCAGAAGCCGAGATATATATTTAATGGCTAATATCTTTAACTAAGAAAGTTAATAAAAATGGCAGCCTTTAAGGCAAGGTACTTACCGTGAGTGAAGCCCAGTCATCTTTGTCCTTGGAAAGGTCAACTTCCTCTGCAGTCCAGAAAGAAGCTACAAGAAGAGAAGAGCATGCCATCACACTGGAAAGTATAACCTTCTGGTAGATAAGGTCAGGAAGTTTCTTTGTTGCTGTATCTTTCAAATTAAAGTTTTTTAAACAGGTTTTTCACTTCTACCAGGTTTCCAAGGGTATTCCATTTTTTCTACTAACAATGTTATTATTTAATAGGGAGGTACCAGTTTTAACACAAAAATTATTATGCAATCACAAGCTTTTAATCAACATCAAAGTTGTACATTAAAACATGTATTGGTATTTTAACAGGTTTTTCTTGTTTGGTTTGTTCACACACTTCCACTAAGTTTTCGACAGCACTCTTTCTCTGCTAACAGTCTAATAGGCTAAGGAAGCTCACCAGTTATACACAAATTGTTATGCAATTATAAGCTTAAAATCAAAATCAAAGTTGGGCATTGAAACAGGGATTGGTATTTTAAGAGCATTTCCTTGTTTCCAACTTACCTTCAGCCTTTTTGTACATGTCCCATATATCTTTATATTGGATGGGAAGAAGAACAAATCTATGTGGATTTTCACGGAGCAGAGGCTCATCTTCGGTGTTGAACTTCGACTTTGGTTTGTAAACTGGTTTTACTGGGCCCTGGACCTTAAACGAAATACACATGTTAATTTTACTGAGAGCTAAAATTTGTTAGAGAACAAAACATGCCTTCCAGAATATTGAAGTATTGAAACGTGCTCTTTGATTTCCCCATTTCGCTTGGGCGCCAAATACCGTTGGAGTCGTAACGAACTTTAACTGTTAGCGTTCTTTCGAGTTTAATTTGATAAAAGTAAAAATAACTTCACTGACCAGGTTTTAAAACCTTGGCGAAAGATAAGCTTAAACAAGCCTCCAATATGTTGTTGGGCGACTATTGTCGAAAGAAGAAAAATTCTAAGTTCGTCATTCCATAAGTCTCGTGGCGTCTCGAGCTTAAATGTAAAAACAAAATTTCTAGAACTACAAAACAAATTCTCGAGTCTTTAAATATCTTATCCAGCTTAACTTCACTTCCTTCGCATGCTTTCTGCTATGTATGTGCTATTTTACAGGCCAGTGCTCGAAACGAAAATTTTTTTCTCCCGCCAAAACCGAAGATATAGTTGAGAGTACTTTGACTTACCGGTACCTCGCCGTTCTTCTCGTTGGAATTGTCGTCTTTCTCGTTGCAGTCGAGGTCTTCCATGCTCTTTGCGAGCTTGCTAAGGTCATCATTCTGCACGATGAAGGTATCTATACCAAGCATGTTGAAATATAGCTAAAAACTATAAGTAAAAACAGGAATAAAACAGCAAGAGTATGCTATGTACAAAGAGGCTGAAGAAGGAGTGATCGTCCAAGGGACGCGTTGCCGAACTTGAATTCGCGCGGCACAAGTACACCAGCCAATCAGAGTGTTTATTACATAAGTGGTTCGATTTATCATTGGTTTGCTTTGTTCCCGGGAAAAATCTCGTGTTCAATCTGTGGTCAATCACACCATATTTGGAAAACAAAAGGGCCAAACAACAGTAAAACAGCGGGAAGCCGATATTTTAGCGCCCGCGTGGTAAATACCAGCGGAGTGCTTAGTGCTAGAATTCCCGGATACCAGCAGGAAAGCGCCATTTTGTTTTTAAGAACTATTGGTATGTTTCTTGCTTACATTCCAGTTATTTTTGCAGTTTATTTGAAAGACATTGACAATTTAGGTGCTTTAAGGTCAGTAGCTATCATCAGTCTTTTTTATTATTTTATTAGCCCATCTTTCCCTTGAAATATGTACGGAGTGGACGGAAACAGGTCGCGTTGCTCTGCATTTTGGGACGACCTTATGAGTTGTGTTGAACAGGTTGGCCGCAATGATCAGTGGAAAAAATGTCAGAATGAACGGGAAGATTACTTTGAATGTCTGCACCACAAGAAACTGGTATGAAACGATACTTATTTGTTTAAAGACAAACTTTGAGGCCTCAATCTAGAGTTGTTCCTTGGGGATTCTGATTAGGGTTAGGCGGTGGTTTAGGGGGGTGTTGAACAATATTGTTGTAATATCCGCCAAATAATTAAAAGTTTATAAGGGTGTTAATTAGAAAATTCGGAAGAGCCATTCAGTAGTCTACCTTGCGACCTTCCTGTCGGACTCTTTCCTCTGGAATGTTGTAGGCTTGATAGGCAAGTTGTGGGTATGTGGGCTGGTGGAGGTCCTTCAGTTCGATCTTCCTAGATAAGTCAGGAAGAGGTCCCTCCGTGAGGTTTTAAATGAAATGGCTTCTTTTTATGCTACAAGCAATAGCCATTTTTGAGTTGCACCAAGCCACCATTTGCAAAGCCATTGATATGAAAATGATTTTTCTTCTCATGGAAATAGAACTCATTTTCACAACAAAGGTTTTGCACTTAGTCTCGTTTTGACAGTGAGAGTTTTTGGAACTCCGAAATGCTCCTTTCAAAACTTCAGGATCCCACTTGGCAAGGCTGTGCTCTAAGGAAAATTTCAGGGAGCCCCTTAGGCTCCCAAGCATTTTAGCTAAGGTGCCCAGACCTCAAAGTTGGTCCCCCAAATAAAAATTTCGGGGATTTCGCACTCCCAAATATTCCTGCTGGGGTGCCCAGGCCTCCAAGTTGGTTGTCCAAGTACATCTGATGATGAAGAAGTATTTTGTACGCACACTCATTTTTTGCGACAAAAACCTCCATATTATCCTACAAAACCCATCATAGTTTTTCCGCCATTCAGATTCAAAATGAGAAATGTGAGCAATGCCGCCGAATTGTTTAGGTTTTAAGCAGGGAAAAGTAAATATTTCTACAGGTTTACATAATTTTCATTAAGACATTTAGGTCAAACATAGGAAAACTGTGCTTTTTACTAGTAGTACTAAAGTTGAAAATAAATTTCCAAAAGGTCAATCAATGTGGCATGAAATAAATAATGGGGTTTATGTGGCAGATCAAACTCAAATTCCCGTGAAACAGTGAAACTGCCATGGCCCGAAACCTATTGTTTTTTTTAAAAAGTCACCATTAATTTTCTTTCCTATATTATCAGTGAATCTTTTAGAATAATCAAGCTTTTTGTGAATTTGGTCAAAGCATAAACGTAACCAACTCTTCTTTCCCTGTTTTTTTGCCGCTAAATTTAGCCTATGCATGCATGCAAATTTAGTTCTTGATACGTAAAAGCCCAAGACAATGTCACTGGGACTGCCCTGTTAATTATAAAACAACAACAAGAATGATCATATCTTTTTGTTTTCATAACCAGTATGTTAAATTCTTCTGCCTGGTTAACTGAACACTATACCACTATTTTTTCACTTGCCTAAAACTAAATGTTATTTGCCTCAGGCAACCGGGTGCCTTTAGAGCACAGCCTGCACTTGGGCAACCCATGTGCAGTTGAACTTTTTAAGACAGGCCTGTTCAAATTCCTATCACTTTAGCCCAATGTAGTGTCAAATGCCCCTCTCCGATTTTTGCAGATTGTAAAGTTGTAAATTAATATTTGCATTTATCATAGTTTGTGGTAATTTTTGGGCAATTTTAGGGATCAAAAAAAATTTAGAATATCCTGTGAATTTTAGAAAAAAAATTGACAAATTCGAGAATTTTAGAGCAATATATACATTCACCCAAAATTCTGGCAACATGTCACGGCAAAAATTTCCAATACCTTAATATCATGTGGACTTTAATTTCCTATTTTAAGGTATATTGAAATAGGCAGACTGCAAAAGGTAATTGAAGTGACTTTCTTGTTTGATAAAAGTTATTTCTTACTGTACATCTTATATACATGTATTTCTCTCTCTCTTCATTGATGTGAACTACTTTGAGATGCCTAGAATATTATTATGGCAGCCACCTTGACTAACAAAATCCTCATAATGTTGATTGGCAGTTGAACTACAAAAAGTAAATGCTTGTCTTCAAACTTAACCTTTCAAAATGTTGCATGCATGTAGCTTTTGAAGTCCTCAGTGAACAAGTACACTTTGGCAATCCAACGGTTTTACAGTGGATTAAAAAGTACCAGGAACCTGACTTACACTATCCTTTGATGGTATTGTTTCCAATAGTACACAAGACTTGAAAAGATTCAGAAACAGAAAGAAAAGCTCATAAGGGCGGGAAAATGGCCACCCAAGGAAGAAACACCAGCAACACAATGAAAAGAACATGAACTTTACACATTGTTTGACATAAGAATACTGATTGATGGTGACAGTGACTTACTGTAAGAGATTGGAGCAAACACCTGTACAGTGCCATGTTACATTAACCCTTTGAGTTGTTTTTTAAAGCTTGTTAAACCAGCAAGTTTATTTAGGTACCATTTCAGGTTAAGATGTATAATGGCTTAAAGAATGAAGTGAACATGAACAATAAATATTGTAACAGTAGTTTGTGATCTAAATAAAGTTGGTTTAAAAGCACTAATTTATTGTCATCATGGTGTGAAATGGGGTGGAACCTTGGGTTCTTTTTAAATGGAGTAGAAGACAAAGTATCAGTTACCTTATTTCCTCAAATAATAGCCATCCCTCAAATAATCGCCTCCCTCAAACACCCCTCCTCCCCCCCCCCCCCCACCCCCCCCCACCCCCTCCTCTTATTTTCCTTCCCTTCTACTCTCTCTGCCTTCTTCATTTCATCTTGCTTCTTCTATTGGCACTTTTGTAACGTTGTTCGACGTCATACCGCAAATACTTTTTAAAACTCTTAGTTTTTGTGATTGTGGGGTGAAAAGGGGGGGAACCCTGTGGTTTTTTTAAAAGGAGAAGAAAAAAAAAAATAACTCACCTTTTTTCCCCCAAAAAACCCCCCCCCCCCAAAATCCCCCCCCCCCTACCCCCCCCCCCCCCCCCCCACCCCAACCACTCTGGCCATTTTCTCTTTCTTTTATCCCGTCCCTGTTATTATTCGGCTATTATTCCAGAAAATCCGGTATTGTATGAAATTCCTGGTATTTTTTTTCAACTACATACACACAGCAAGAATATTGTATTTTTTCAGTCCCAACAGCTGTAACAAAATTGCTTTATTTTATAACACTACAGTGTACAAGTTGACTCAATCATCTTTTATCCTCATGACACAAATATTGTACAAGCACTTATTGCCTAAAATATAATTTTTTTTTTAGGGTTCTTCATAACTTAGCTAAATGTCCACTTCCCAAGGTGATGATGCTCTATGAAATATTATAGGGGCTCAAAAAAGAACTGACAACCTAGGAAATCTTGGGTGCCCAGCACATGTTTGTTCAAAAGCTAAACTTTTCCTAGAAATAGCAGGGCATAAATTACACAGGGGATCTTAAGCATCACAAAAAAGTTGTAAATTATAGATGCTACATGTACAAGCTCACAATTTGTGACCAAAAAGTTAAAACTCCGTTTTGTAGAGAGAGCTACTATTTTACTACTGTATCTTTACTTTGTTAACCTACTTTATAGCTATATTTGTATCTCTATTGTAATTAGGACAGAATAGCCATGTAAATGGAGTCCTAAGAAAGTGTATGTATGTATGTATGTAAGAGCATGTAGCAGCTAAAACTCGTAACTTTCTTATTGCCAAAATGGCAAGGTAAGCTGCCAAGGGCTACTATAGCCCTGATGACCTTTCACCTCCACTTTAGTGTAAAATAAATAATATATTACATTGATCTACCACAAAACACTTAGACTGGTGCTGATTTACTCCTTTTGCAATGATCAAACACAAACAGCTGATATACAATAGAACTACACAGACTGTTCTAATGTTTAATTTCTCTAGCATACCTGGCTCATACGATATATAACATGTCACAAAACAATCTATGCAAGGCAAACAGCTTCTCTAATCTCATTTTTAGACTTTGGCTAGTTATTTGTTTGAAATCAGGGATCCAGGAAACTGTTTGCACAGTACCAAACTTGCTTTATGTTCACCTACTACTTGTCAGCTGTTTCCTTAGAAACAGTGATGACTATGCTGTCATCATAGCTGGTTATGATCTCCGTTAGTTGATCTTGCTGAGCGCTAGCGATGAGGAGAGCCACTGGGTTCCATTAAGGAAGCCATCTTTTTGTGCAGGGCTACTGTCTCTCAGCTTTTGCTCCTCTCCTTGGTTACACCTGTGAATAAGTAACAATAAATATGATGGATGAAATAATCAAGGTTGAGTTAAGTTATCAGCAGAGGCTGGTAACCCTTACTGAGACCTTGATTATTCTGGGTACCACAAAACCAAATCTAATAAATATTAATTGTATCATTAGCAAGTGAATATTAACGTTAAAAGCCGACGTTTCGGTATCATCATGACACCATTCTAAAGGCAAAATAAATAAATAATGTGAAGATTCGATCGAATCTTCGCACTATTTATATATTTTGCCTTGAGAATGGTGTCATAATGATACCGAAACGTCAGCTTTTAACATTAATATTCGCTTGCTTATGTTTTAAGAAATCGATATTGATCAAGAATTGTATCATTATGCATTGGTTGGAAGAAACACTAACAAAAACAATGTCACAGGGAACACAGTTTGGCATTGCTCTTAGAAATTATGCATTGTGCACATCTCTTACAGAGTAGTTATGTGCTGGGAAATAACTAACTAATCTGTATGTTATGTAGATAATTTTCCAAAAATGCTATGTAACTGTATGCTCTACGACAATGGGAAGACAGATAGTGAGTATAGAGTATAATAATATCATTGTTGATAGGTTATTATTTCTCAAAATTTTTAATGACAGCTGTACAACGATGTGCTTAGGAGTATGCTTGCAGCTGAATTAAAAGCAAGAATTAGCAAAACATACCTGTAATATCTGACCAAATCTTGCTCAGACCCATTTAAGTACTTGTTGTAGAATGCTGACACATTGGCAGCAGTGTTCCAGATTTGAATCTGCAGGCAAAAAACTTTGGCATCATCAACAAAACCAACAGGAACTCATTTGTTTTGATGTTTCCAGTTTTATTAAGAAAAATAGAAGAGAATCTGAGACAGTAGCAAAGGTTCTTCACAAAAAAATAATTACCTCATCAATTTGTCCTGTCATAAACTTGTCACCATTCTGTCCAACAAGGAGGTTATTAGGCACAGATGGTGCTGAAATGTTTCTCAACTGCTGCTCCTTTTTGCCATTGACAAACAGAACCTAAAATAACAAATGAACCAGCATCCTGGTGTTGTGATTCAAATTTTCTTTTGTTAAAAAGTTTTGACACCACATTCACTTCATATTATGGTACTCTACCCAGCGTTGATACAAAAAATGGCAACCACATATTTAATGACTTTTCAAGGATCACATTCAATTTTCAATGACCACCTACCAGGAATGTAATTTCACAGATTGTGCAAGAATGCACTGTCTCAGTCCAATCTAACAGGACTTTAAGGCTTGAACTGTTTGCTCCTGCAACCTCTCTAAGTTTTCAGTGCACTTGTCTTAAATTGATAGTTAATTATTGCATAAAACAAAAGGCGCTTTATGTAAATCACCTTTAACTTCTCTGAGCTATGATTTTCTTAGTTCTGTCTTTAATAGACAAGCAAAATAGCATTTAAAAATACTTTCCAGCCCATTGCATTCAAAGTTGAAGAAAATTCAAGGACTTGCACAGAAATTTAAGGCCTTTTCAAGGGAAAATGGAATTCAAGGACTTTTCAAGACTATGTGAACCCTGCCTACCAGTAGAATCAAAGTAAAAGTGGTTCATAAGTTTTTAAACCATAGAAAAATTTGAATCAAAACATAATCATATATGGTGAAATATTTGGCTTAGACAAGGGGTGACCTTGCAGCTCTCAGAGGAACTCGCAGGTTTGGTTGGGAAAACAATAAACAAACAAAGTTAAAAATGGAACCTCACCCAAAAACAAAAGAGCTGCAACCCATAGGAGTTCAATTAAATTAGAGGTTCTACAGTAGACAGAGTATGTGCCACATACCAGTAATAGCGTGCAAAGAAAGTAGTGTCCGATAGCCCGGGGCTAGTGGATTTCGCTATTAGGCTAGTGAATTCTGTTTTTAACTTGCCCGACGGGCAAGTGATCTTTTTTGAGGAATTCGAATAAGAAGAACTGTAAAATCAATTCTGCTCTTCAAAAAGGTTTTGGGGCTAGTTGAAATGACGTCTGGGCTAGTAAAGACTAGCTTCAGCTTGCCCGAATGGCACCCTGAGTAGATATACACTGAGTACAAAAACATAGTAATTATTACATGTTTACAGAACGATGCTAAAATATTAATTGCCCTTCATAGTCCTTATACTTAAACTAGCTTGGTCACTGTCTGTCACTTGCCCAAGGAACACTACAATCTGCTCTTTTTCCACCGTGTTCCCATTGGCTTCATATTTATTTTGAAGCTTACCATCTCCTTTGTCTCATTGTTGTACTGCAAGGCAATGTGAGTCCATGTGTTGTACGTAAAGTTGCCTGTTACCACTTGTGTGCTATTCAATCCACCATGAATTTTTCCACCACTCACCGACAGGTATACCCCTAAAACAATAATAATATTACTAATTTAGTAATTCATATGTTCCCATTAAAACGTTACCATTCATGTAAAGTAGACAAAGAAGTTAATTACATCACTATTTGCTACTAACATGGAAGTTTAAAGAGACAGAAAATCCACAAGACATACCAGTGCCTTCCTTGGTGCCAAAGATAGGAATAACATCAGGGCTATTGCAAACTTTTCTGGATCCACAACTTGGACTGAAAGATTCAGGTGACAAAAAACAGGTATTTTGTGGCATAGAATGTTATTTAAAAAAAACACACACACAACTTACAGGAACTACTCTATAATTACAACTTTCAAAACACATGGAAAATTAAAGGAAAATGGCTTGAATTACCAAGAGTTTTGGAAAGTGAGTAGAGTTAAAGTGTTAAACTGTGAAGGGGCAGTCCGGTTTGGATGAAATTATTTGGAAGTTTAAGAAAACAGGATTCTTCTGTGTAATATCTCAGTAGCCTGTGTGCAGACATCTCCCACTTTCTTTATTACATGCAGAAAATGGACAAAGAAAGTAGGAGACTTTTCAGACATCTGCATACAGGCTAATATCCCAGTAATTTTATCTGTTTTGTCTCGTAATTTTCTCAGGCCCCAGCTGTTCAAAAGGTTGATGATAGCATTATCCATCGGATAAATATCTATCCACCAGACAGCGCAATTGGTTTTCCTAATACTTATCCACTGGATAGTGATTTATCTGGTGTATAGTGCTATCCAGCTTTTAAACAGCGCGAGCCTGGCCAGCAACAGGATGGAAATGACAATTCTGGGGTCAAAAGGACATTATTAGACAAAAACAACAAAAAACAGAAAACTTCGAAAATAAGTGAAGATTACTTTAAAAGGAGCGAGATAACTGAACGGAAAAAACTACTCGACCAGTAGATATTTTGAATACCTAAATGAGATGTCATCAATAGCAATATCACCAGCCTTCGCATATCCTCTGGCTGCTGTGAATCGAACAGCAACAAGTCCCTCATAGACCTACAAAGATAAAATTATTCACAGCTCTCTACTACAATGTGACAAAATATTTTATTGACCTTTTTTTGCCAAATTTTCAAAATTGCAATAACTTTTTTAATGCTTTTCCTAAAAAAGACATTTCAACAAGATTTATCAATTTTAGTAAAACCTCGATGTCTCATAGAAATCTGTCAAATATTTTTAAAAATTGGTTATTTTAGAATAACTGTACTGTTTAACAAAACATAATTTATTATTTCTTTAGTTTTTAAAGAATTATCTAGGAAATTTCAAGGTAGCCTGATAGGCTCCTCCAAAAACTTTGCTTCCTTTATTCTTGATCAGACTACCTTACTTTCCTCTTAATTGCCCGCCAGGATTCAACTACATATTTTTGTTCCTGAAACTATGCATTATCTTATCACCAGTTCATAGAAGAATAGTATTAACAAACACTGATACTCCATCGGTTTGTTTTATACATCCGTACAGTATGTTGTACCAAAAAACAATATTGAATAGTGTTGTGGAGAACAAATTCACAACATTAATTTCTCAACAGCTCATGAATATTTTTACTACAAATTAAAACAATGTATACATCTGCTCCAAGTTCTGCTAGTTTGATGTTTACAGAGCATTTATATTATAATTCCTTTTTACACTAAATGAATGTGTGTAACCAGAAATATTTAAATGGTAAGCAAAACTGCTTTGTGATTAAAAGAGGCTATTACTGAGTGTTTTTTAAGAAAGAACTTTGTTTATAACTGTAGTCTTCTGTTTAGTTTTATCTTCAACAGTATTTGAACTTTTATCTTAAACAACATTCATTTCAAATACTCTAGATCTATATTACCTTGTTCATGAAATGTTAATATAAAATGTTTTTACTTTGTTTCATCAGCCCACAACATAACAACATTCTGAAGTATGTAAATCACACTATTGTAAATTGAAACTAGTTCTCTATAAATAAGAAATGATGTGAAATCCTGAAACCATGGTGATGGAACTTATCAATAGTCTGAAGTTCTACTGCATGAAATTCAGGTAAGTCAAACATTCTAAATTTAAGTAAATATATATTTATTTTAAACTAGTAATAATATTTATAATGTGAACTTTTTCAATAGATTATTGAATTGAGTAAGTCACAACTTAGGGCTGTCAAAAAAACACATAAGCAGGTAAAAACCACCACCTACTACGAGTTTTGGGGGACCTCTTTACTATGCAGCCTAAAAATTTCAAAGAGCCCGGTCAAGTATCTGCATGCAAGCAGTGATTATATTAACACTTAGGAAATTGTTTTCAATCAGAGCATCTGCTCATGAAGCTTAATTTAACTCACTAGTAAAACCTGGAGCTCTCTTTAAAGGGGAAAATGTTGCCTAACAGTAATATTTGACTGTGTGGTCAGTCAGCTTTGAGAATTTCCCAGTGGTACAGGCCCCCGTATTACGTCACTCTGCGGAGCTGTGAAAAAATTAAAATTGCTTAAAGCCTAGTGGATTTTTATTTTAGAATACAAACAAAAATGTAACTGACAACTTCTCATACAATGTCCTAGCCTGCATAGCTGGCAGAATAATAATTATTCTGCCAGCTATGCAGGCTAGGACATTGTATGAGAAGTTGCCAGTTACATTTTTGTTTGTATTCCCAAATAAAATAATTATTATTGTTGTAGCATGTGAGAGTTTTGAAAGCAAAGCCGCCATTCTTGCCGCAATATATAAGCAAGTGCGGAAGGTGCAAGTCCAAAGCGTCTCCTTCCCACTCTCCGTGCTGCTTCACAGCCTCTCTGCCAAAACTTTCCTTGCATGAATTATCCCTCTGGCTATGCAAGCTAATAATGTCCTCAAATCTGCTAAAACTGTATTAACTTGGTAATGAGTCAAACCAAATTTAATGAATATTTATTGAAATCAATGTATTGTTTTTTTCTATTTTTTTTATTTATTTTTTTTTTTTACAGTTACTCAAACTCTGACTGAAAAATGTCTTCAAAAAGGCAAGCTTATTCCAGTGGAGAGGTCCACAAAAAGCCAGCTGAAGAAAGAAACAGTTCAAGGGGATCATCACCCTGTGACAGCCAGCGAAGTGAAATGAAATGCAATCAGAGAAAGTCAGACAACAGGAGTCCTGCCTCAAGGGGATATCCAAAGGAGTGCATAGGTCAGTAAACCTGCCTTACAGAACTCCTTAGAGGGTAGAAAACAAGAAGTGCATGCTAGAGACCAGACCAGGTAGCTTTGTAAAAAAAATCTTTCTCACAACTAAAAAATACAGTCAAAACCTTTAAATACGGCAACAGAGGGGGCCACAGAAAGTGTCTATATTAACGGGGTGTCCATATTAAGAGGCTTGAATTTAGAGAAAATAATTATAAGGCCTTTTTCTGGAGGGACTAATCAAGCTGTCCGTAATAAAGAGGTGTCCATGCATATAAAGCAGGTGTCCGTAAAGGGGGGTAAGTGTTCTCAGCACATATTTGATCCTCAGCAGATTTTGATGAGTTTTCAAAGCAAGGAGAGAACAAAGCTGTGAAATACAGAACAGCACATCTGCAGTGGCTCCTAGATAACAACGTGTTCTCAATCAACAACATGGATCAGTGGCAACCTGACTTGCGTCGATGGATACCCAGCAGCAGTGCAAGATACCCATTAAGAATGACAAAACCCAAGCCATCTACTGACCCAGACTCATGTAAGGTCAACATGATTACTCAAAACTATTCCACATCTTGATTGTTCTATACATCATGGGCATGAGTGTAATAATTTATTGTCAGTGTCTAGTACAGAACATTGCAAAATACATGCATTCGGCAAATCCAAAGTACCATCTTTTCCTTGATTGGGGACTTATTAAGTAAGTAAAATAAATAGGTATTCTAGTATTTAGTGGTAACAACTTCACGAGACCTGGTTCTTCATCTACCATTCCTGATAATTGAAAATGGGGTTTGAAAATGTTGGTTTTGAGGAGGGGATAAAACTGGAATACCCAGAAAAAACTTCTTGGAGCAATGGAGAGACCCAACAACAAACTTAACCCACATAATACCATCACCTTTGTTAGTTAACCCAGGCTTCACTGGTGGTTGATGTGGGAGGCATTAACATTGTCACCGTTTGATGAGTCATCTCATTCTCCAGCAATGATTATTTTGCTAATGAATTTCTAGTGCCTGAGGATTATCAAGTACACATTTACCATGGGAAAAGGGACAGAGTGTGGGTGAAACAGTGGATATCAGGAATGATGCAGGCCAGTAGATTTATCATCACCACTAACAAACAACCATCAAGAAATGTTTCAAGAGTTATCCTTGTCCTCACACCAGAGCTTTTTAATGAGCCATTTTTCTCAGAGATTATTGATGCTATTCAAGGAAAAATTGTTCTTGGTATAAAGTTGAGAAACTGTAAGGTGCCTGAGGAAATTGGAAAGGAATGCAACAGCTACATGGACCTAACAACAACTGACTTAAGTGACTTGAATTTTCATATTTCATTCATGTTCAGGGTAAAAAAGTCCCTCAAACTGCCTGTATCTATTTGCTCAGCATAAAGTGCATGACGTCTTGTCAATGAACTCAGGTGATATTTCTAGTAGCCTCTGAATTATTTCTTCATTTAATAATTTATTTACTATTCATTCATTCAGTGATTTACTAGCTATTGTTCATATGTAGGGTGTATTAACATTTCCTCTCCTTAGACATTACTTTCCATAATGGTGGAATGTTTGTACAGTGGACTTATTAGGATTTGTGTTCAGTGAACAACTTGGTTTTGATTTTTAGCTTTTACTTTTGTTTCTCATAACTCTTTCTGGACTCCAGCTTGAAGTGTAATAAAAAGCTGGGTAAGGCATCCACTCTCCCAGGATTTGGGAGAGAATCAGATAAAATTACATGTAAGCCTATTGAGCACAACTAAAATTAATACATTCAGAGTGCAACTATTACTGTTAAGTGCTTGAAACACGCTTCTCAAAATCCTCACTTCTCCCCTCCATCTATGGGGAAAACTGGAGTTAAAAAGGTAATTTCAAAGAATTTTTGCTTGATTAACCTTAATCTGTCCTTATTTTGTTGTGTGTCCTGAAAATTGTTAATAATTAATTATTTATTTTTTGGAAGGAGGTGTCCATTGAGGAAGAGACATACTGTAACTTAAATGTTATTACCTGACAAAATGAAATGCCAAAGACTTACTGAGAGATCCACCTTGCCTTGATGCCATGTATCGCCTTGATCCCCACCCTTATGGAACACTGCAAACCATGTTTTATCCACAGTCTTTACTTCCACAGTCAATGTCCCCATTTGGGGTATCTTCTCAGACTTCTTAGTCACATACAGTTTAGGACTTGACATGTGGTAGAAGAAGCTCATGTTGCACTTAAGACCAGAGGCAAACCATGGAGTCTCAAAGGAGGCCTACAGAGAAAGGTATGCTTGACAATACTATTTTACAAAATAACTAAGATAGTACGTGCATTCTGATTGGTCAAAAACCTATGGTTTATTGTGCCGGTAAACTCATAGAAAACTGAAACTTATTCTGTTTTACTTAAAGTTATTTTATAAAAGCAATAGACCACACTTTCTATGGGTTAACCAGCATGATAACCCACTTGGGATGTTAGGCCCTTTTCACAGATGCAGTGTTTGCCATACATTAACGGTCATTTCAAAATCTGTAAGCCATTTTGAGCAACTTTGTTTTAAATCTGGCAAAATCCTTACAAATAGACCATTTTTTCCATCATGGTCTTTAAATTGATCTTTATACAGACCACCAGGGTTCGCAAATACGCCAAATTTGGCGTATTTTACGCCAAAATTGTTCAGATGACTCCACTGAAGTTAGTGAGGGAGTCATTTTGACTCCAGAAATTTTCAGTAACAAACATAGTTTTGTCCTTACCTTTTTCACAACAAATACAATTTACGTTAATTGTAAACGTTGTAAACCTTAATTAAATCATCAAAATTAAAGAATGATACTGCACGGCAAAACAGGAAGAGGGTAGATTACGATCACAGTTTACTCGATGACCGCCATCATGGAATTAAGCTTTCCAGGTCAGCAGACTGCCACAGCTACTTCGTGTACGTGCTAGAAAGTCAGAAAATGGCTTTTTTCGCTAAGATACTTGACTCCAGATATTCCAAAATGACTCCAAAATTTGTGAAGCAGAAGTCACACTGACTCCACTCATTAATAAAATTTGCAATCCCTGGACCACATAATATGTAAAGGTGGATTTTCATTCCCCAGGATGGATGTTTGTTCCACCTTTTTCATTTTTTTGTCATGGGTGAAATCTACCACTGTCATGCCGTAGCCAACCATAGTCATGTTATTTTAAAATCGGAGGCTGTACTGGTTTACATGATCTTCGTGGCAACTACATTCTTTCACTAAGTAAACCTAAAACAACTACCTATGGTCTTAATTCTTTTCTTACTTTTCAGCTAAGCAGTGGAATGCACTGCCCGACTTTTTTCGTACCAGTTTTTTTTGCAGAGTTTAAGACCAAACTACAGGATGTTACCTTCATGTTGATTCTTTTTGCCTGACATACTTCAACTTAAAATTGTGAATTGTAAATAACTTTTTCTTTTCTTTTTTATGTGCTTATTATTATTAATATTATATTATTATTATTACTTATAATGCATTAATTATTTAATGTATATATATATTTCTATATTATTTTCATGTAGTGTCAGCTCGAAGATATTAGCTTGCTAGCTACTCTAAAATTCGAGTATAAATAAAGTTTATGTTGTTGTTGTTGTTGTTACATCAGACTAGTTGGGATTCATAACTTTTTTAATGTTTAATTTGTGAACTATGTTTCAGGATGCTCTATTCCTGACTTGCCTCTTATGCTATATAACTACTAATGAGGGTAAACAAAGGTCATTTTTATTATTATTATTATTATTATTATTATTATTATGGCAGTACAAACGTCTGGATGCCCAGAGTAAAAAATAAAAGCTTTGGCTAGGCGGCAAACCATAACCAGCTGCAGCATCGACTAAAATTCGTCGCAACAATTACACAATAATTTGTGCAAAAAAAAAGCCTGGGTAAAAATGATTCGATAAAAGCGTCGTAAAAAAAAATTAATAAAAAAAATTCCTACAAGCTTTATGGATGTCTTAATTATAAAATAAAAAAGTTCATAAGGTAAAAACCATTGTTCATGAATATAGCTGTCCATTAAATTATGAGAACGTCTAAGGTATGTCAATAAAATTTCGATAATGTATAAGATTAAGTATCTGTTAAAATAGGCGTCCAAAATTCCTATAGATGGTTTTCACAGTGACGTCATCAAACTGTTAAGTCAAAATAGTGAGGTTTTACGAATTCTTATTTATACTAGGTTGAAGATAAACAAAAAATAAATCTTGGTACAAGTTTCCAGTCCTGTAGCATGTTTCATTTCGAAAATACAGCAATTTGAACTTCTCAGTTTTCACAGTGTGTGACAATAAAATTGGAATGCTGTCTCATTGAAAAAAAACGTCTCTCCACATGATTTTCAGCAGTATATCCATTTCAAGTGTTAGAAGATATGTTTATGTGCACATATGCTAGTTCTCGAGTGAAAAGAAAACGCTTTCATAGAAAAAGTGAACTCCAGATGTTTTTGTTGATTTCTGGCAGCCATATTGGTGCACCAAAACGGTGCACCAATATGGCGTCTCCATACAAAGCTCTACAAAGGAGTGTGAAACTTTTCGGCAAATAACTCAGAAACTGTGGGCCACAAAGGCCTGAGACTTGGACAAATTGTTTATATATTAGTCTTCCAACATTTCATTTTCTTGGCTTCTTCCACTGGACGGTTTCCAATTTATTTTCTTGTTGCGTGACAGTGAAAACGATCTATAGATATCTAACCACTCAGCTTGAACATTCTAGCAATGTGTAATGAACTAGACAGGATTTCCTTTTGAATTTGGCGCATAATTGATTCACACTTGTCTCCTACAAGCTCTTTTATATTTTGCTCAACCTCTTTCTTATTATTATGATTTTAAATTTTATTATTATTATGATTATGATTATTATTATTATGATTATCATGATTATGATTATGATTATGATTATGATTATGATTATGATTATGATTATGATTATGATTATGATTATGATTATTATTATTATTATTATTATTATTATTATTATTATTATTACAGTAGAACCCTAATACCTCAAACTCAAGCTGAAGGGAAACGAGAAAAAGTTTGAGTCAGCGAGGGTTCGAGTTATCAGGTTGATTCCAAAATTCAATTTGCAAGGTTAAAAATTGATAGTTACTGATTTTTCAGCCTTCCAGTGTATAGGGCAATGCAAATCTAACTTACTTCATCAGAAAAGGTAAAATGATTAATCATTTTAATTTCAAGACGTGATCTGTTCGGTGCAACAATTAAAATCTAATAATAATATTAAATAATTGTGTCGAATAGTATAACTTTTAGTCTTTTTACCTAAAAACAACAATTAGAAGAGCTAACGGCATGGCATGTAAGTGGAGTTTCAAGTTATCAGGGTAAAATTATTTTGGTGAATTTTTGATCAACAGATACGAAATTTAGTTCAAGTTAGTGGGGAACTTGAGTTATCAGAGTTCGAATTAACCGAGTAAAAATGACTGAAAATGGGGTTAATGTAAGGGAAATTGGACTTAGTTCAAGTTAGCAGGGAGTTAGAGTTATCCGAGTTCGAGATATTGGGGTTCTACTGTACTATTATTATTATTATTATTATTATTTATAGTGTGAAGTACCACAGCACACTTGCGGAGCTGATCGCAAATAAGAAGGGAGAAAGCTACTCAAGCACAATTTCCTGGATAAAAGCTAAAGTATCTTTCGCCACCGTACGCTCCACGATACTGTGCATGAAGGCTCAAGATCCAGAAGACAACAGCTAGACTTTGTTGACTCAGATCTACAGATCGAAAATATTGGAGCCTGACTGAATTAATTTTTTTATTTTACTATTTTTTTAAGAACTTTTTTTTTAAAGAGTTAGGAATTTAGGAATACGAGCTTTTATTCTTTTTAACTTGTTTCTTTTTAGTATCAGAGATGAATGATTCTATTTTGTAATGACTAAATTTAAAACTCTGGACCACCTGCAAGAGTTATTGATTGCATCTGAGCCGGAAGGAATGTATTTGAGAAATCATTATTGACACAGTGATTGTATTTTTTTATGATTTATATAATTCTTTATGTTATATAGTGCTTAATTCTTACTTCAACCACATATTTTTTTAAAGTTGGGTAAAATTATTGTATTATTATTATTATTATCATTATCATTATTATTATTATTATTATTATTATTATTATTATTATTATTATTATTATTATCATTATTATCATTATTCTAAACGAAATGCTTTAACTGCTGGATGTTGTTGTACCAACATTACACCAAGGGAGCAAGCCATAGCCAATGGCCAAAGGTCCCTTGGGTTAGTTCTCCTCCTTCAACTTTCCAATACCTTTCCTAAGATCCGTGCTCTTC